GGTAGTGGAGAGCTAAGCTTTAGAATAATCCCGCCCCAGTGGTCATGGGCCAGTCATCTTAAAGAGCAGGTGAGGGCTGGCTTTTCATTCTTGAGAAGGTGGGGCTGGTGGTCCAATAGGAGGAGCTAAACTAGGAGAAAAAGGAGGGCAGATGTGGGAAGGGGCTCCGGGTTTGTGGTGGGGGGAGGCCCTGCCACCCTCCCCTAGACCACCTTCTCCCCCACAGCAGGCACCAGAACCTACTAAAAGTGCACATCTGGCCACATCAACCCCCTGCCTCACACCCTCCATGGCTCCCTGGTGCCCTTAGGAGAAAAGCATATTTTCTAGAACGCCCCCAAGGTACTTCATGATCTGCCCCTCGTCTCCTTCCTTCCCTGCTTAAATTCCAGCTTCCCTTGGATGCCCCCCCACCCCCGTTCCTTATTCCTGTCTCACCTCCTGCCTGCTGTTCCTCTGCCCCTGTCCTCTGCTTCTCCTTAACTCCTGATATACTTCAGATTTCAGCTGAGATGCCCCCTTCTCCAGGAAGCCTTCCTGGTCCCCACTACTACTGCTTTCATGGTCCCTGTATTTCTCTCACAAAAGCACACAGTAGGTACTCAGTAAATACTTATTAGCTAGATGAACAGTTATCAAACTGCCTCAAAGTCAGCTCTCTGCTCTCCTCTATTCCCTGATCGACATCTACCTCCTCCTGGAAGGCCAGCCTCTACTGCCTGCTCATCTCTTTCTGCCCCTCCAAAACAAAACAAAAAAATCCATTACCATCGAGTCGATTCCGACTCAGAGAGACCCACAGGACAGAGTAGAACTGCCCCATAGGGTTTCCAAGGAGCGGCTGGTGGATTTGAACTGCCAACCTTTTGATTAGCAGCCGAGCTGTTAACTTGGGCTCCACCTCCTCCAAATTCCCCATCTCTGCATTTTTGCTGCATTTTTTGCTCCAGATGACCCAGGATGGAGCTTCAGTCCCCGGAGCCCAGGGGGCACCTGCTCCTTCAGATTCACAGGGGCTTCTGTGTGTCAGCTGTGGCTTCCTCCTCTGCTCCACCCCCTACGGACTCCACATCCTCGGGGTTTCTGGCTCCTGACCCTCAAGAGCTGTGAAGCGAGGGTCGTAAGGGCCAGTGCTTGGCTTTATTTAATTTGAATCCTCACATCCACCTTACAAAGAAGGTGTCATTGCTATCATCCCAACTTTACAGATGGGCAAACCGAGGCACAGAGCAGTTAGGTAAGGTCACACAGCTGTGCGAGGTGGAGCTGGGACTGAAACCAGGTGGTCTGGCTCCAGAACCCGGGCTCTTGACTACCATCCTTCTCCTCCCCAACTCTCAGGAAAGGCCTGCTAAAAAAACCTGTTGCCGTCGAGTGGATTCTGACTCACAGTGGCCCTACAGGATAGAGAACTGCCCAACAGGATTTCCAAGGCTGTAAATCTTTATGGAAGCAGATTGCCACATCTTTTCCCCCGCGGAATGGCTGATGGGTTTGAACCGCTGACCCTTCAGTTAGCAGCTGAGCACTTAACCACTGTGCCACCAGGGCCTCCTTCAGGAATGTCACCTCTGAAATGTCACCCATGCACTAACTCAGAGCCTCCAGGGTTGGTGGGCGCCTGGGGCCCTCCTCGTCGCTCCCTCCCCTCCCTGGGATGGGGAGCCAAGGGTCCCAGGGGTTGTCCTGCAGGGCTGTGAACGATTAGTCATCCTAACTGAGACAGAGGCAGTTGATCATTTAGGTCCCACGGCAAGGACTTGTGGAAAAACCGGGCAATTGGGAAGTTTCCAGACAAAGGGGAAAAGTCTGTCTTGGGACTCCTCGTGGCCTTGGTTCAGGGTGAGCAATATTTAGTGCCAGTCTAGGGACTCTCTTGACCTCACTGGTCAAGGAACAAAACCCCTCCTGCAGCCAGACACGAAGAGAGACTCACCGTCATCGGCTGAGAGAATCCGACCCATTTCTAATCTTATTTATCGAGCTCTTATTTTGTGCCATGCACCGTCCTGAATGTTTGCCATGCATTCCTGTTCCTCATAATGACTCTTTGAGCTGGCTGCTGTGATACCCCCATTTTACAGATGAGGAAACCAAGGCCTAGTCACACAGCTGGGAAAGGGGTGATGCCGTGCAGGTCACCAGGTAGCCCTTCTGGCATTTTTCCATCAGGAGGTGAGGGCATCAACTATCCACAAGCTCCTTTGAGGTGGGCACAGCTTGTAAACTGGTTAGTATTAGGGGGCTGGCCTGTGGCCACTGATTTGGGGGGAGGGCGCTACCCTGGCTCCTTAGTACCACGCCCCAGAGTCTAACCAGCTTCCATCCTACTGCATCGAGAAGAATGGATTCCAATCCTTCCATCTCCCTTTGCTGCAGCTGGCGCCCAAAGCGGAACAGGCAAACTAAGATGGCCACAGGGGCCGGGCAGGTGGCACAGGTGAGGACTGAGGCGAATCGGGAGCACATGCCCCCTCATCTAAAGGGGGCAGCTGCTTCTCGGCTAGCTGTCGTCACGTTGGAAAGTGGGCCCCGTGTGGCCAGATCTTACCATTTTCAAGAGAAGCTGCTAATCAAGATTTTATGTGACATGTCCCCAGAGCTTAATGTTGGCAAACCCATTCAAAATACCATTTTATGAGGGCTCGATCTACCCACCTCCCCCAGTTTGCTACCCCCCAGCTCCAGAAAAAAGCAAGCAGGACACTTAGGCCTTATTATACAATTCTGTATTTAGTGACTTGTTTACAGAACTTGTTCCTTTTTTTTTTTTTTAAGTTTAAACAAAGTTCATCAATCTCTCATAGAAACGGTTTTGTGGGTTTTTTTTTTCTCCCGTTATAGGATGTGAATCTGACAAAGTTGTTCACAGGTCTGGTAGCTTTAAGTACAACAGGATTTCCGTGTTCAAAAGACTATCTACTAAGTGCTTAATCAAATCCCGTCACACTAAAGCCAAACTGAGTTCTCTAAGACTCGTAGTCTGCATGTAAGCCTGGATTTCAATGTTCTGTGGGTTTCAACAGTAAAAAGTGGTGTGTTCCTCCACGGTTGTCTTGATTGCGACAGGGTGGTGGTGGCTAAAAGGAGATGGTTCATTTGTTCCAGATTTGAGTACTCTGAAAATTGGTCACTGTTTCCTATTGTCAAAATATAAAAATACCTTCATCTGGATAAAAATGTATACAGTGGAAAACTCTTCAATGCATAGCCTGGGAGTATGGAAAAGGAGGTTTTCCAGCAGGGTTTGTGTTGTTGTTGATCAGTGTGAAATCTGCAGCCTGGGCTGGATGCATGAGAGTTGCAATTTCTGGAATGGCCCTCATTTGTTCCCTTCTGGTTACTGCGTTTTGTAAGCTTGGTTTCCAAACACTTGTGCATCCTTGAGACCCCTATCGGCCATCTCCCTCGAGACCCCTGTGGGCCATCTCTCTCCTGGGCATTGGATTAGTGTTGATCTTGGCTACTTCTTCATCGTCATTCTGGATTCAGCTGGGGAGTCACCCAGTTCAGCCTTCCCACAGACAGTATGATGAAGGAAAGAAAGAAAAACGAGAGCTTCAACAACCAATATGGTAGCTACTCCATCCAAAATGGAAACTCTCCCTCTAGAAACCGTAACGAAGACTCTGGAGGAAGGGTGTTCAACTCTGAATTGGGGTGCCGAGCCTTTGCTGCCCAAACTGGCATGCCTTGGAAAGCAGAAAATGGGCTTGGAGGCTGGGAGATGGTGGATGTATTGTGATGAACTCGGCCATCTCACTTTGTTCTGCTCGGACTCTGAGTTTAGACGGCTTCCAGAACAGCACCAGGGTCAACTTGTGAGGTAAGATGGCGAGAAAGGGAGTTCAGGTCTCTAGTTTGGCTAAATTTAGCTTTTTGGTGCTGGTTGCCAAGCTTCAGTGCTGTGGGATGTCTGATGCTGTTACTTTCTTAAAACACAAGCAGGGGAAGATGACGGCCACAGTTTTGCTCTGGAATGCCCACACTGATTCCAGTGGGAAAACTTCCTGGGCTATGGCCATGATTCGAGTTGGGGAATGGGGTCACTCTGGCTCAAACACCAACCTCCAAGCACCTGCCCCATGCCCAGCTTTCCAAAGGGTCTGGAACCACGTCTTATCTACGGATGGTGTCTGACCTCCATGGCCTACAGGTTTCTAACTCGAGGGAGTGTAAACAGTTTGTTTTGTACCATGCTACATCTCGTATAGGACGGTGGGGCCACAGCCCACATCTCTACAACATTTACAACAGCACGAGACATTCTGTGTTATCAAGGTTGCAAAACAGACCACCAGAATGAAACACATCCTCAATGGCATCGAGGTTTTTATTTAGAGTCTTTTGGACTTTCTCTTTTCCACATGGTTTCTGGAAGGGCAGTAGCAATGCACTGTCTCTCACAGACAAGATGTGGAAAAAAACCATGGTTCAAGGGTTATCTAAATTTTGGTCAGTCTCAGAGCGTCTTGTGATGGCTTTGAATAATTGTCTTCTTTTAATCTCATCTAGTGGCAAAAACAACACAACTTCAGTGTATACTTCGCAACAGTTGTGACAGCATCCTGATTTTATAACTCTCTGTAATATCAAAACAGCATTGGCTGGGAATAAATTCCAAAGGATCCTTTATTAAAATATCTAAAAGAGGTCTATAAATATTTATTTTTCTAAAAGAGTTTGGAGTTTTCAGGTGAAAATGTGGCGCCATTTGCTTCTGCCTCCTGCAGAGGTCAGGGTGGAGAAGAGGAGCAGAGTTCCAGGTGTTCCTTGGGGCAGGGGGTGCTGGAAAGAGGAGGCAGTGGCACCTGCCCCACCCACTCACTCAACTTTGTAAAACTAGGGTTACAACAAAAAACGTAAACAGAATAACATTGCTGTCCACATTTTGACGGTTGAGTTCCTCTCTCCCTCGCCCCATCCTCTCCAGGACAGTGAGTAAGAGAGGGAAGGTGACCACCAGGGTATCCCCCCACCTTGCCCCCTCGTCCCTGCCTTCAGAACTCCCACTCCAGGGCCTCCTCCCGATTGGCAGCCCTCTCTAGCCGGTAGATGATGCTGTTCAGGTTGGCCATCTTCTCGTGCCGCCGCTGCAAGTTGGGGTTCACCTTGGCACTAGGGTGCAAAGCCCCGGCTGTGTCAGCAGTGGGGCTGGCACTCGGCACTTTGGCAGGGGGGGCTCCAGGGGGGGATGGAGAGATGGGGGCTGAGGAGGAGGGGATAGGCGACACAGATATCATGAGGCCTGGCGAGGAGGCGGCTGAGGGTGAGTTCAGTGATACCTCCAGGCTGCAACGTGAGGACTCCGAGGCCGACTTAAAACTTATCGGGTCTGGGTGAAGCTGCTCCTTGCCCTTGTTCTCCTGGGGCGGATGTATCGAGGAGCAGCCTGGGGTGGTCCCGCCTGGAAGGAGGGGCCCCGGAGCCATTTTTGGGAGTCCATCGTTATCTGGAGGGTCGGGATGCTCCTCTTTGGGGGGACCCTGGCCCTCTTCAGGCTCCCGTAAGTTCTGGACACGGCCTCCCTCCTCTTCCTCGGCGTCCTCCTCTGTCTGTTCCTGCTTGATCCTCACCTGGGCCTTGTCCTGGGTGGTCAGGGGCATGACGCTCTCCTCAGAGCCCTCCCGAAACTCCAGTTCCTTCACTGTAGGCTTCTGGTCCTCAGCCTCAGAGTGGGGGCTCTGCGGGGTGGGGTCTGCGTGGGAGTGGCCTGGCGGCAGAACACCAGGGCCCCCGCTTGGGTCGAGGTCCGGTTCGTCCTGGGTCCCCTCCACCAGCATCTCCCGGCGCATTCGTGACCTGGGGCAGAGACGCTGGTGAGGCTGGACAGGGGGACCCAGCTAACCCTGGTTCAATCCCCTGATGCAGCATCTAGACCCCCACCCACTCACCTGGGGGCTCACTATGTGCTAAGCCTCTTTACATGCATCTTCTTATTAAGTCCTCTCAACAACTCCCCTACAAGGTGAGTGCTAATATTATCCCCACTTTACAGAGGAAACGAGGCTCAGAGATATTATGTAACTTGCCAAAAATCACACAGCCAGGAAGTGGCAGAGCTGCGACTTGAACTCAAGACTGTTGGATTCCAAAGCTCATGATCTAAACCTGCGCTGTCCGGTACAGGAGCCACTGGCCACATGTGGCTCTTGAGCACTTGAAATGTGTCTAGACCAAATTGAGATGTGTTGTAAGGGTAAAATACACACTGTATTTTGAAGGCTTAGTATAAAAAAAAAAGTAAAAGATGCCATTAATAATGTTTTTATATTGATTACATATTTAAATGATGATATTTTGGACATACTGGGCTAAATAAAATATACTACTATAGTTAATTTCATCTGTTTCTTTTTGAAATTTTTTTTTATGTGGCTACTGGAAAATTTTAAAATTACATGATTCATATTTCTACCGGACAGCACCATTCTAGAACATTTCACAAAGTGAAACCCAGATTTATTTTGTGGCAACAAGCCCCTGCCACTTTTCCTGGAGGGATTCTTCAACATCAGCCCAGAAGGGGAAACTGAGGCATGGAGAGCAACTTGCCCAGATCACCACAACACACAGTGACAGAGCTGGGACAAGAACCCAGGTATCCTCAACTCCAGTCCAGAACCCATTCCCTCGTGACTCCAATGGCTTCCCTGCTGTCAGAGGGAAACTCAGACTCATATATTATGTTTCAGAGCAGGGAAGACCATCAATTATTTTCCTAATACCAAATGAGGGCCAGTGAGGTTAAACGGCTTGTCGCAGGTCATAGAGCAACATGGGCAACTGTGTTACAGGGGTTCCTTCAGCACCTTCAGAGCTATAGCTCTCTGCCCATTTTTATTATATTAATAGTAAATTTTATTTTATTGATGTATAATTCTAATAATTATAAATTATAATCATCAACATCATAATAGTGGGTGCTTATCATGTGGCAGACACTGGGCCGAGTACTTTTGTGGATTCTTTTACAATAATCTTGTGAAGGGGACACTAGTCTCATTCCCATTGATAAGGGAGACGCGGCCTGGAGAGGTACAGGGATTGCCCACAATCACAGAGCCAGCAAGTGGTGGAGGTACGAAGTTTATACTCTCCTGCTTCCCTAATCAGTAGGGGATGGGGCCCCACCCCAGGATCCCAGGCCTGGAGGGACTGTGAGGGTCATTTGGTCTACTCCCTTCTCAGCCCCCAGTCCCTCCACAAGGGTGGTCTTTTCCACCTTCTGGGGAGCTCTGCCATCTCCTTCAGCCCCCTCCAGAGGGAGCTCTTGTGGTTTCCACTGAGGTGGGATTTGAGAGGGCTTCATGATGGCCCAATGACTGAAGCTCTACCATTGGAACTTCCAAACTGTAGATCTGGTATTGGTCCTTTGTTAAAACACCAATGGGAGGGCCAAATGTAAGGCTAACAGTCATTCACACTTTAGAATAAATTAGTCTTTTTGTTTTTTTTTTTCAATCTCCGACTCCCAAATCTGAAGCAGGGCTTCCCTGTATTTTTTTCTGCTGTTGATCACCTTCTCAGGGCCCACTGAAGTTCGTAATGACATATTAATGTTAGTACTTGTTTAATGGGGACCTTCCCTGTTGGTCTGTTAGAGCTGCTAAGGGCAGGGATTTTGTCTGTCCTGCTGTTTGCTGTATTTCCAGCACCTACTACAATGGCCGGCACAGAGTAGATGTTTAGTAAACATTTACTGAATAAAAGAATGTGTCCTTCTGTAATTATATCTCTTTGAGAGTAATTTCTTATAGAAGTGGAATTCCCTCTGCTCCTTGGTGCAAACTCCTGTGCATCTTTTAAAACTGAGCTTAAATGCCACCTCCTTTGTAAAGTCTTTCCCAGGCAGAAACTCCCTGTTCCCTCAGCCCCTTGCTCCTTTCTGTTTTACAGTATTTATTAGGTTGTAGTGAAATTATCTGGTTCATAATTTGTGAGCTCCTTAAGGACAGAGATGATGTCTTTGAGCCCCCCTAACTCTAGACCCTGCATCACTGTATGTACTCAGTAAATATGTGCTGAATGAAGATGCTGGATAATAACGGAGTGCTCAGTTCCTGTGGGGAACCAGAGGGGAAAGGACGTTTCCACGTCTCCCAGGGAGGGAGGACAGAGGCGGGAAGGCTCTAAGGGCCTGTGTCATTTGCTCTTTGGGAGGCTCTGGTCTGAGCCAGATAATAACAATATGTTACAATGTGTTTACACCCAAAGTTATTTCACTTGATCCTCCATTCAGCATTGTAGGGTTGGTATTAGGTTCCTCATCTGTAAAATAAGGGTGAGACTCAGAGAGGTAGAGTGAATTGCCCAAGGTCACACGGCCAAGGTGGGACTTGTACTCAGGTGTGTGTGATGCCAATGCTCAGGCCAAAGGGAGGGAGACTCCAAGTGCTCCAACCTTCCAAATCTCCTTCTTCATCTTCTCCCTTGGGATCAAAGCAACTGTGCTCTCCCTTGAACGGATGGATGGACTTTCCCCTCTGGTACTACATGGGCACTGGGGACATTTCCTGCTCAGGAAACTTGAGTAGAGGGAGGTGTGCCTCAGACCCGTAAAACCAAACCCATTGCTGTCAAGTCGATTTCGACTCATAGTGACCCTATAGGACAGAACAGAACTGCCCCACAGGGTTTCCAAGGCTGTAATCTTTATGGAAGCTGACTGCCACAGCTTTCCCCCATAGAGCAGCTGGTGGGTTCAAACTGCTGACCCTTTCGGTTAGCAGCTAAGCACTTAACCACTGCGCCCCCAGGATTCTTGTGCCTCAGTTATGGCTCCTGAAATCCCCCCTTCAAGCTTTCTCCACAGGCACCTCCTCAGCCGCCCTGGGAAACCACTCTGCATCCCCTCAGGCACTGCCTGACCCAGCCAATGCCTGACCCAGCCCTGGACTAAGCTCCCAGGAAGCCCAGTCCCCTGCAGGCCAGCGACCCCCCAGACTAGTGACTAGAGAGTAGAAGGTCTCAGGGGAGAGGCAGCCACAGTAGTAGGAATCACTCGCTCCCCAAGGAGGATGGAGCCTGAAGGGGGCCCCAGAGGAGTTTTCTTTGGCCTCCAGAGTAGGGGCATGGTGAGGCTAAGAGCCCCATATCAGGGTCCTCCCAGAGGCTCTGTGGGTAGTTACGGCTCCTCAGGCCTGTGCCCCAAATACTGCTCCCTGTGCAGATACAGAGCAAGTTGGGTGAAATAATAATAACATCTTCAACACCTACCACTTACTATGCACCAGGTATTTTATACAAATATAAAATCCTCAGAACAATGCCATGACATTACTGTTCCCATTTTATAGGTGAGAAGCCTGAGGCTCGGGGAGGTGAAGAACTTGCCCAGGGTCCCGCAGCTGAAAATTGGTGTTGAGCTTCACCGCCAGTTTGCCTATGTTCTGAAACTAAAGGCACGTGCAATATGGCCTCCTCACCTCCCTGAGGCCGTGCTGGAACCCCTCCAGGCCATGGGATGGGGAAGGGGGCCCAGCCGAGATCCCTGTCCTCCCTCCCAGCCTGCAGCCTCCCCCAGGACCCCCACCTGTAGTTGTGGAACCAGTTGATGACGGTGTTGGTCTTTAGATTGAGCTGGAAGGAGAGGAGCTCGATGGTCTGCTGGGAGGGGTAGGGCTCGAGCTGGTAGGCCTGCTTCAGTGCCTCCTTCTCCTCCGGTGCCAGCACCACGCGGGGCTTCTTGATCTGCAGGAGGCTCAGCTCCTGGGGCTGCAGGCAGGGGCTGGGGCACTCGGAGCAGGTGGCCGGAGACTCACTGTCCGAGCCGGTGCTGATGAGGCCGTACCTGCGCTTCAGGTAGGCTGGAGCAGGGGAAGGAGAGAGGGCGGCCTGAGAGGGGCCCTCTGACCAGAGGCCCAGTGCTACCCCCAACGGTTCCCCAGGGGTGGCAGGAGCCCCGGGGAGGGAGGTGTGGTCAGAGGGGCTGAACCACTCATCACCTCGCCCCTCTCAGAACTCCAAATCTACGGCTGAACTTAGAGCCCATTCCCATCGTCTTGATCCTTCTACCTTTTTTCCCTCCTTGGTCTCTCTCCACATCTTCCCGACCCCTCTGCTGAGAGGTGCACCCTGCCCACATCAGCCCAAAGTGCCTGGCCTGCCTCTGAAGTCTGCCGATTAGAACATGAATGTGAGCACATGTAAAGGGCTTAGCAGGGCGTCCCCCACACAGGGAGGCACTCAAAAATGGGTGCTATTATGGTATCCTCGGATTGTCAGAAGTGCCACTGAATTCCAGAATAGCCTTCGGGGGAGGTGGGAACACACTCATTTAAATGAATCCATTAACCGTATGATACATCTTGACCCCAAATCACTAAAATGTGAAATAAAGGGTACCCGGGAATGGAAGAAATAAAGTCCTAGCATCTCATTTAATCCTCACAGCCATGCTCTCAGGTAGATGCCATTGATTTTATTTTCAGATGAAGGAGACCGAGGTACAGAGAGGGGAAGTAACTTGCCCAAGGTCACAAAGCCAGGAAGTGGCAGGCCAAGTTCTCAATTGCAGAGCTGTCTGATGACAAAGCCTCAGCCCTGGCCCTGCTCCTTGCTGCCCCTCACAGCCTGGCTTGATCCTGGCCGTCACCATGAACTGCCCTGTTACAGCTTCACACTGTGCCCTGGGTGACAACTTTGCAATCACTCACAGCTGATCTTCCAACCGGACCTGAGGTTTTTTAGATCCAGGAATCCCCTATGCCCAACATAAGGTTGGGCACAAAGCAGGTGCTTAATACCAGCTCATTAGACAACATTAGATAACATTAGACAACTAAGAATCTGCAATCCCCTTGCCCATCCCCACAAAAGAGGAGGATTCTTGTTGGCTGGGTCAGTTCTGGGCTTCATTGTGTAGAATCTGGGTAGTGGATAAAGGGGTGATCTATATAATAGACAGTTAAAGCAGAGAAGAGAGGGTTCAGAAAGAAAATGTTCTGGGGACTATGGAGGTGGGATCGGCAAACGACTTTGGAATAGCTGTGGGCATGTGAAAGGATCCTGAGAAAGATGGGGCTATTAGGACGTTCATGGGGGATTTATAAATATTTTCATTGTTTTCAATTACTTTGTTTCTTGTGGTCCAGTATCAGGCTGGGCCCAGACCACTGGGGCCCTGGGTTTACTGGTTCTAGTGGGAAAATCTGAGGCCAGATACAGAGTGCCCAGTGCTGCCCACCCCCTGCCCAAGTCTCACCTTTCTTCTCCAGCTTCTTCATGTCCCTCAGCTTCTCCACGTTATGGGGGTCATTGAGCCACAGCTGCATGCGGACGAAGGGCTCTCGACCCTTCAGGCTCAGCTTGTGCCAGGGTTTGGGCCGGGACAGCAGGTCAGACACGGAGCCCTGTGTCAGGCCCAGGATGCTCTCTCCAAACAGCCGCTGCCCTGGGGACAGGGGAGGAGGGCAGCCTTTACCCCAGGCTGGGTGGAGAAACCCGCCCCCAGGAGAGCAAGGAACAGGTCAGAGATGCAGGAGAGAAGCCCGGGCTGTTTCCACTAACTCAGAGGGAGGGCCAGAGACACAGGGGAACTCACATCCAGGGTGAATCTGAAGGGGACCTTTCTGCAAAAGAGGAGGTTTAGGGGGCAGGCTAGACAGCTACCACCCAAAATGCAGTTTCAACTTAAGAGGTTCTTCACTCCTAGGGTATCCTGGAAATTGTCTGCAAAACTTCATGTGCGTGAATTTGTCTCACCTTGTTAGAGGGTAATTTGACAGATTCTATCAAAATTTACATGTGTGTCTCCTTTGATCCAGTAATTCCACTGCGTGGAATTTATCCTACAGTTGTACTTGCCCAAGGGCACAAAGTTAGACGCAAATACACTGTTACAGGTAGCAGGAAACTGGAAGCAACCAAAATGCCCATCAGTTGGGCAAAAAGCTATGGTGCATCCATGTCCTGGAACAACAGGGAAAAGAATGAAGGTGAATCATCCTACTATGGAAGGATGTCCACACAAGATTGCTAATTTTTAAAAAGCAAGTTGTAGTAGAGTATGTGTGCACTTTCATTTATACAGGAAAAAAGAATTGAGTGAACATATCTTATTGTATGTATTCAGAAAGTGTCAAAGATACTTAAAAACTGTACGGTATAATTGGCAGACTGGGAATGGATTTAATATTTGCTCACTTTTAAACTTTTTTTTTTTCTGTACTGTTTGGTACTTTTAAACAATGAATATGTCTTATTTTTATAACAAGAATTCTAACGAAGAAACTGGGGTTCACATGCATCTCTTTGGGAGGGGAGCCTAGCCTGCATGTAAATCTCAGAGGAGTTTGTGATCTAAAAAGGGAAATAGACCTAAAGCAGATTTCTCCTGTGTGCCCCCAGAGGGCAAGGATTTCAGCATCGATTAGGGGTTGAGATGGAAACCCACAGTCACTGGGATTCTCTATATCCTCCTGGAAGGAAGTTTTGAAAGCTGTGAGCAGAAGATTCCAGGTCATATCAGACCTGCATCCACCTCCCTGTTCTTTGCCACCCCAGGGACCCAGGTCAGATTCAGATGCCTCATAGAGGGTCCCAGATGCCTGAGGACTGACCAGTGCCTCTAGGCTGGACTCCAGTGCCCTGAGATCTCCCCTTGGGCACTTTTCTCAAGGTGAGTAGGAGCCAGCAGGGCAGGAGCCAGCATCCCTGGTTCCCGCCACTCCGTACCTAGGTTGTTGTCTGTGAGGACCTCCTTGACTCTCTTGGTGATGGAGTACGTGTCCAGCTCGGGGGACATGGCCACAATCTCCTGGATGCCGCCGGCGGCCTGGCTGCCCAAGTACATCTTCCCACCCAGTGAGGAGCCAGAACGGCTCTCTGGCTGCTGGTTCTCCTTGCTGCTCTCCAGTGACAGGCTCAAGGGCTCCTGGGAGCTCTTCTCGGGCTCCATGGGGCTAGGGGGTGGGGATGGTGAGGACCTTGGTTCGGTGGGACTGGCTGTAGGCCACAGAGAGACAGAGAGGGTGGTTACTACAACTTGGCATAGACGCACACAGGCCAAGCAGACTTACTTGACTGAGTCAAGAGTTGGCAATGCCCCCTTTTACAACCACCATAGTAATATCTCAGGAAGGACCTGAGCGTTGTGCTCTTTTAAAATCTAGCTATACAGGATCAAATTGACAATAGCAACTTGTAAGATTAAATAGGAAACTTAGGAGCAGTAATTTTACGTTAATGGGGGAGGAGCAATTAGGAAAAGGAGGGTGAGAATGTTTGCACAACTCGAAGAATGTAATCAATAGCACTGAATTGTACACGTAGAAACTGTTGAATCAGTATTATGTTCTGCTGTGTATATTCTGAGTAACAACAACAAAATAAAATTATTGTATCTATCTATCTATCTATCTATCTATCTATCTATCTATCTATCTATCTATCTCAGGCAGGAATCATCATGAATGTTAAAACTAGTGGAGGAGAGTTTGATGAGGAACAGGATATTTGCATAGTCTCAAACTATCTCCTCATAAGATACTTATTAATTACAAAGTGAAAAATAGCAACTTTACAGTAGAAGTACCTGGCAGACAGCACCTTAACCAAGTAATCAAAGTTAACATCACCAATAAGTCAGATCAACAATTTGTGCCTCTTGATACGATGCACTGAGAAGGACACAGCATCACTTCTGTGATACTCCTGCCAAAAGCACGTAGCCTGAATTTAATCATGAGGAAACACCACACAAACCCAGGGTGAGTCTATAAAATAACTGGCTTACAGTCTTCTGTGGTATTTATGTTACAGCAGCACTAAGTGACTAAGACAGAATTTGGTATGAAGAAGTGAGACGCTACTCTAACAAATACCTAAAATGTGGAAATGGTTTTGGAATTGGATAATGAGTAGAATCTGGAGGAATTTTTTTTTTTTTTGGCTGTGGATATTCTTTTTTTGTTTATTGTTGTAGTTTAAGTGAAAGTTTACATTTCAAGTTAGTCTCTTATACAAAAATTTATACATACATTGTTATGTCACCTTAGTTGCTCTCCCTGTACTGTGACAGCATACTCCTCCTTTCCACCCCTGATTCCCCAAGTCCATTCAACCAGCTCCTAACCCTCTCTGCCTTCTCATCTCACCTCTGGACAGAAGCTGCCCATTTGGTCTCATGCATCTACTTGAGCTAAGAAGCACATTCTTCACGAGTATCATTTTATGTCCCACAGTCCAGTCCAATCTTTGAAGAGTTGGCCTCGGAAATTGTTTTAGTTCTGGGCTGATAAGAAAATCCATGGGCCATGCTTTCTGGGGTTCTTCCAGTCTCAGTCAGACCATTAAGTCTGGTCTTTTTACTAGAATTTGAGTTCTGCACCCCACATTTCTCCTGCTCTATCAACACTCTCTGTTGTGTTCCCTGTTAGGGGGGTCATTGGTGGTAGCTGGGCACCATCTAGTTCTTCTGGTCTCAGGCTGATGAAGTCTCTGGTTTATGTGGTCCCCTTGTGTCTTTGGTGTTCTTCATTCTCCTTTACTCCAGGTGGTTGGGACCAATTGATGCATCTTAGATGGCTCCTTGCAAGCTTTTAAGACCCCAGATGTCACTCACCAAAGTAGGATGCAGAACATTCTCTTAATAAACTTTGTTATGCCAATTGACCTAGATGTCCCCTGAAAGCATGGTCCCCAGACCCCTACCCCTGCTACTCTGTCCCTCAAAGTGTTTGACTGCATTCAGGAAACTTCTTAGCTTTGGTTTAGTCCAGTTGTGCTGACTTCCCCTGTAGTGTGTGCTGTCCTTCCCTTCACCTAAGATAATTCTTATCTACTATCTACTTAGTGAATAACCCTCACCCTCCCTCCCACCCGCACTACCATCAAAGAATGCTTTCTTCTGTGTTTAAACCTTTTCTTGAGTTCTTATAATAGTGGTCTTATACAATATTTGTTCTTCTGTGACTGACTAAATTCACTCAGCATAATGCCCTCTGGATTCCTCCATGTTGTAAGATGTTTCACAGATTCAATGTTCTTTATCGTTGCGTAGTAGAATCTGGAGGAATTTTGATGTGCTTCATACTAAGGCCCTACTTTGCCTTGAGGAGACCGTTAGTAGAATTATGGATATTAAGGGCAATTCTGACAAGGGCTCAGAAAGAACTGAAAGCTGTGATGAAAGCTTCTACTGCCATGAAGAGAACATTGCCAGAAATGTGGATATTAAATGTGCTTCTGTTGAGACTTTAGAAGGAAATGATGAACATTTGATTGGACAGTGGAGGGAAGGCAATGCTTTTTCTGCGATGGCAAAGAACTTGTTAGAATTATGTTCAAATGTTTGGTGGAAAGTAGAACTTGTAAGTGATCAACTTGGATATCTCGCTGAGATTTCTAAGCAAGATCTTAAAGAGACAGTGTGGTTTCTCCTTGCCACTTACAGTAAAATGTGGCAGGAAGGAGATGGACTTAAAAAGGAACTGCAAATAAACCAGAACTTAAAGATTTGGAAAATTCTGTTGTGCAAACTCAGGAGACGTGTCCTGGAAAAACTTTCACCAAGGATGTGGCTACACTATCTTTTGCTGGAGAGATTAGGCCTGTGACTGATGGATCTAATCAGCCATCCCAGTAGAAACCCCTTCAGCTTAGACCGAAAGGGACAGAAAACAAACAAACAAAAAAAAACAACCCCATTGCCATCAAGTCGATTCTGACTCATAGGACAAAATGAAGAAAAGCTGTCTGCCTCTTAGAATTCTACAGGCAGGAAACAGGCAATGGAGCGACTTGGTTGTGAACATCTGTTGTCCTCCAAGCCGCAGTCCTCGCGTCTGTGAAACAGGGCCAGCACAAACACCTACCCTTTGGGCCACCAGGAGGATTTCACTAGATAGATGAGTCACGCGCTCAGCACAGTTGAACCTGTACCTCCTGAGGTGTCAGAGTCACTCACTCGCCCTCCCATCATGAGCTGAGCCTCCTGACAATTCATGCAGGATGTGCCCAGGGAGGTGCCCCTGCTGGGGTGGGAAACCTGATGGGGGCATCTACAATTCCAGCACTGGCCCATATGGTTCCTTCCAGCAAATTAGAAAAGCGTGCCTTTTCCTCAAGGCACTTGACTGCTACCTGCTGGCAATTTGTTATAAGAAGCATAAAAATCTATGATAACCAGGAGGTGAAGAGAGCCTCATGACAACAGCAGGGACCTTGCTTCCAGAAAGGACATACTGAGCCTCTGCTCTGGATGGTTTCTTCCCTCCCTGTGGAAAGCAAGTGGGATCATGCTGAACAGATCGTTCCTGTGCTCCAGAATCTTCAATGGCTCCCCATTACTCCCTTGCATGAGGAATGTTGACCTCCTTGTTCTGATGTGTAAAGCTCTGAACTCTCTTATCCCTGCCCACCCCACAGACCTGGTGCTACTCACAGTTCCCCCTCCAGCGATATCCCAGTCTCTTCCAAGCTCCTATATCTTTGCTCAGACCAGTCTTGCTGCCTTGGAGGACTTCCCCCTAATCTTGAACTCTTATACATCCTTTAAGACCCAATCCCAAATGCCCCTTCCTGAAGTGCATACCTTTGGGGTCTAATAGCACCTTGACCACACACTGTCACACTTTACTACAATTTCTTATTCAGGCCAAGTCTCCTCTTACCAGATGATGACAATTACGATGAAGGCAACGATGAGGATAATAATAAATCTTCCTTTTGTTGAGCATTGCGTAGTGCACATGGTTCACATGCTTGGTTGCTAACTGAAAGGTTGGAGGTTGGAGTCCACACAGAGATGCCTCAGAAAAAAGGCCTGGCAATCTACTTCCAAAAAATCAGCCATTGAAAACCCTATGGAGCACAGTTCTACTCCGACACACATGGGGGTCACCATGAATTGGAATCAACTTGATGGCAACTGTGTTTTTTTTTTTTTTTATTTGAATAGTTACTATCTGCCCAGCTTAGTGCTTTGTGTTTTACGCCTATGATCTCATATGACCCTTATAACTTCTCTAGAAAGTAGGTACTATGTCATTCCATGCTATAGATGAGGGAACTGAGGTTCAGAGAGGTTAGACACTATGACCAAGGTCATACAGTGACAAGTGGCAAAGCCAGGCCTTGAACTCAGGTCTGCTTACAGCCAACACTGTTCTCTTATCCACTGAATATGAGTTCCTTGAGAGCGGGTTGAGTCCCAGGGCCTGGAGTAGCAGGAGGTGCTGGGCAGACATCTGTGAGTGAATGAACGTTGGCCAGGATCCCTGATTCCCTCTGAAAAGTACAAGGTGAAGCCCAAAGTTCTGAGTAGGGGCACCTCAGCCCTGTGTGGCTGGAGGTCGTGAGGACGCTACTGTTCCCTCCACTACCCCCAAATCCAGCTGACCCTGGCCATCCAGGTGGCATCTGTTCCCACGGCCCGCCGTGGACAGAGGCTGGGGGTCAGCCAGAGGGGGATCGAGGGTCTCTGAAGTCATCTGTCTCTTGTAAAACCGTCTGCACCTACGTCACCACTGGAAGGGCCAGGGTTTCGGGCAGAGAACAAGGGGCAGGAAGGCGACGGAGATCATCAACCCAGATGATCAGTGGGAAACAACCAGCCACTTCCTGCCCCTCACGCACCCCCAGCCAGAATGCCGGCCTTGTCTGACTTTTCGGACTCTGAGAACGGCTTTCAACAAAATGTTTGAAAGCTCTAGGGGTCAACTGTACCAGGAGGAACAGGCTAATGAAGGGGTGGGTGGGAGGTCAGATGTGAGTGCTGGATGAGGGTGTAGGCAGGGGCCCAGGGAGAGGGGCTGGGGGAGAAGTGGAGAGAGTGGGGTGACACCTTGTATGGTTTGCCCGGGACTTCCCTGGATTTAGCTCGGACAGTCCTGTCCTGGGAGACCCTCAAACCTGTTGCCGTTGAGTTGATTCCAACTCATAGCGGCCCTACAGGACAGAGTAGAACTGCCCCACAGTGTTTCCAAGGAGCGGCTGATGGATTCAAACTGCCGACCTTTTGGTTAGCAGCCAAATAAATGCTTAACACTGTGCCACCAGAGCCCCTCAGTCCCAGACAAATCGAAAGGGTGGGTCACCCTAGAGAAAGACAGTGAGAAAGAGATGGAAGAAGACAGACAGAGAGAGACAGAGAATGAGGGAGAGACAGAGCGAGAGACGGGACAATGAGACACAGTCAGGACAGCAAGAAAGACATGAGGGAGAGAGAGGGAGAGAAAAAGTCAATGGAAAGAAGACAGGGAGAGAGAAGCAGACAATGATGGGGGATGAGAGGGAGGGAGGGAAAGAAGAAAGAGACGGGAGGAGAGGGGAGGAGGAGGTGGGAGGGAGAGTGGGAGCTGGGAGCAGGGCTTCCTCTGAGAAGGCTCAGACAGAAGTGCCTGGAATACCGATGGGACCGCATCGCTAATGAGGCTGGGGAATTAACCGGGGGCTGTGGCAGGCAGCTGGTGGGAGCATCCGGCTCGCCCTGACTCCTGAGGTCAGGGGCTCCAGCACTGGTCCCTGCCGGGCCAGTGGCCCACATGGAGGGGTCGTGCAGAGACAGGGCTGGGGCAGTCCAGCCTCACCCCCAGGGGCCAGACTGTGTGGGTCCTTGTGGGCAGTAGGTCCACTCTCCTCAGGCCCAGATGGTCCTGGACAAGGGGTAGCTGTGGGCCCGGGCAGGTCACCACAACTTTGGCGGCAGCTGCAGCTCCTATCTCTGCTCCCCCCGGGCCCTGGCTTCCTGTTCTTGGGTGCGGAGGGGACAGAGCGTCCTCAGTCACCTCCACTCACAGCTCTTCCCAAACCACGCAGAAGCCTGCCTCCTGGCCTTCGCCTGGGCTGTCCCCCAAACAGGAGCACTGTCCTGGATCTTCTCTGCTGAGTTCTGTCCTGCCTGTGCTCAAAGCCTTCCACACCAAGACAGTGGAAACCAAACCAAGTCACACAAGTAGGCTTCAGCCCTTCAAGCGCTCAGCTGGGTGCACACTGGGTGCCTGCACAGTAGGTGCATGCCACTAGGCAGCCATCACTGTAACAGCTGCACTTAATCCTCACAACAACCATATAGAGTTTTTTAACTAAAAATGTAAATTATAAAATATTTCAAAGATATAGAAATATATGGAAAAGAAAATATCAGTCTACCACTCTTCCCCCTAACCAAACCCATCTCCAGACTTAACAGACGTTAACACTTTGCTTTTTTGCGTCAAATCTCCCTTTTTGGTTTAAAGAAATAAAAAAGGGGCAGATACAGCCGAAGCCACCTTCCCTTCTCTTCCTCGCCCCTTCCTGCCAGAACAGTCCTTCACCCAGACGAGGGCACTGGCTCCTTTCTACATGGTAATGCATATGCCTGTAGCTCTAGTACTACAACCATGTGTAACCAGTTCCAAGGGTGTTAACTTCTAAGCAAACACCATCACACAGGACTTCACTTGAGTGACTTGACATTATGTTTCTGGTAGGTGTTCCTGTTACCACGTGTCAATCTAGTTCATTTATGTGAACCTGAGATATGGTTTTATCCATCAACTTATCCCCACTTTACAGATGGGCAAACTGAGACTCCTCATCCTTGCCTTTCCCCTCAGTGCTCTCTGGTCTCAGTGGCCAGGTCTGCTGTCCTGTCCTTGCAGCCAGGTCCCCCTCATCCCAGTGCGGGCCTGGGCAGGTGCAGAGACACCCGCAGATGTCCTCAGGGCCCAGGACCCGACACTCTCATCACAGCTGCAGTCTGCCCCACCAAGCCCAGTCTCCATGACTTTGGGAAACTCTCTGAGCCTCACTTCCCTCACCCGGGCAAAGTTCAGACTCCACCCTCCCTGTGAGAGTGGACAGATAACAGCTGCCCGAAGCCCTGTGTTGAGAAGGATTCTGAGGCTGCATCCTGGCCCCTCAGGAAAAAGAGCTGCCATCCATCAGTGACTCCTGGGACGAGGGCCTGGAGGGTAGGGCCCGCAGGCGAAGTACTTTCTCTACCTGCTCTGGGAAACTCTGGCGCCACCTAGAGGCTCTAACCGGGACTGGTGCACCGGACCTGAGATTTAGAAGCTGGTGGAAGGATTTCAGTGGAGCAGCGAGCGCAGCTGCAGGCTTCTAGGTGGCCAGGACACGAGCCACAGCAGTGGGAACAGAGACACTGGCTGATGTGGGCCCCAATCTGCCCATTCTGCACAGATGAGAGAGTGACTGCTCTGCGCAGGTCTAGATTGGCCACACTCACCCTGGGCAGCGCTGGCTGGCTGGCTGGCAGCCTGGCCCAACTGGTCCGAGAGCCAGAGCTGCATGCGGATGAAGGGCTCCCGCCCCTTCTGCGTCAGCTTGCTCCACGGCTTCGGCCGGGACAGCATGTCACTCACGCTGCCCTGTGACAGGCCCAGCACCTGCAGAGGGTGCGGCACGCAGGGTAGGTCAGCAGGACCCCGGACCACAGCCCTCACCCTAGGTCCCCAAGGCCTATAGGTTCCTAGGGGGTCAGACAATTCCATTTGATCTTTGTGTCCCAAGTACCTGCAGTGCCCATCTTGACACCCTGACATGTAAAAATCTTGTCTGGCCTCTAAGACCCCCAAACACCTCCCCCTCCTAGGCCTTCCCCTGAAGTCGCTTTTCCCTCTTTTCAACTCACCTGCCCTTTTGCCTATTTCTCTGTTAAGGGCAGAGGTATATTAGAAACTACTTAACAACTAAGGTTGCAGAGGCGCCCACCAATCAGGGTGCACCGGAGTCCCTCCCTTAATCCTTTGGTGGCTGGACCCTGGGTGGGTATGGAAGGTCACGAGAGAGGGGAGGTAACTGGCTATTTATGAAGCAGAATGGAAGCATTTCACTATTTTAACAACTTGAGCGCTGAACAGCAGCCCTGCAGTGCTGAATGGCAGCTCTGCCTGTGACCCTCGTACCCATAGGGGACAGCAGGAAACAGGAAAGCAGGCTTGGGCTTTTGGGCTCACACAGACCTGGGTTTGGATCCTGCTTTCGCCCTGTCCTCACTCTCACACACTGCTTTCCAGACCCTGGCTCTCCTGGTCACTGGGCAGCCAGGTCCTTGGGTGGACTACTGCCCAGGGTCCCATGGGCCCCTCTGTCTGCCAGGGCTCCCCCACACTGTCCTCACCTTCTCCCCGAAGATCCTCTGGCAGATTCCATTCTTGGCGAGCTTCTCCTTGACCTGGCGCGTCAGCTCCAGCGTGTCCACCTCACGGTACATGTAGAGCTCATACTGCTCAGGGGTCAGGGGCGGCACAGTGGGCTTCAGGGTGCGGGGTACATATGCCGGGTAGTAGGCCAGTCGCCCGCCACCACCCGCCTCAGGGACGCCCCCCTCAGCCTTCAGCTCGCCCACCCTGGGGGGCTCGTCCTCGCCTCCAGCCGCCTCGTCCTCGGTGGCTGTGGGGGCTTCGTCCCCGCGTGGCCAGGCCCGTCCATTGGGCTGGCCAGAGTAGCTGGAAGAGGAGGAGAGTGAGGGCGAGACGGAGGCATAGGGGCGGCTGAGAAGGCCACGGTCCGAGGCCCAGTGGTGGTCAAAGTAGCCAGCATCGCCAATCTCTGACTTCACCTTCCGGATAATGCTCTGCACGAAGGCAGCGGGGGACAGGACCGTGAGGGACGTCTGTGTGGCGCTGCTGCTGGTCCCACTGCTACTAACACCACCACCACCGCCGCCACTGCCAGCCTCCTCCTGCTTGATGTAGGCTGGCGCCCCGTTCTGGCTCACAGCAGCCACTGAGGACCGTTCCGGGGGTGAGGGTGGCACCGAGCGGCCCCGGGGGCCTGCCTCCATCTCCAGCAGGGCCTGCTGCTGCGCTTGCATCTCACGGCGTGCTTGTTCCAGAATGTTCTTGATGGCATCTTCCGAGGTACTAGCAGAGGTTGTGCCATTGGCGATGTTCAACGGAGCCGTCGAGTTCTTGGGCTCACCTGTGGGAGGATGATATGGTGGCTGGGGCCCATTGTCAGGTCAGAGCTTGAGGTGTGGAGATGTTCACAGCATTGTTATTCATATTAGCGAAACATTAGAGGCAACCTCTGTGTCCAACAACTGGGGATTGATTAAGTAAATGATAACCTAACTATATGGCGGAATATTAGGCAGCTATTAAAAATCAAGCTGACAGACAGATTTTAGCAGATGTAGAGAAAGTACTCACAGGGATAATGTAAGGTGAAAAAAAAGATGTGCTTTTTAAATATACACTGCGATCACAAATGTTAATAGACAAGGAAAACGTCAACATCTACAGTACCTAAAACATGCTCTCTCATTCATTCTAACAGGAAAATCATGGCATCAAACCAAATGCCCATTAACAACAGATAATAAATAGTGGCATGGGCACACAATGGAATGCTACCAGCAGTGAAAAGGGAAGTCACCACACAAAACCACATGTGAATCTTAATAATCTAACACTGGGTGAAAAAGCAAGTCCCAGATGACACACAGGATAACAGGCTTTCTATAAAGCTCAAAAATATCTAGTAAAAATTCTATTTCAGAAACAGCAAACATGAAGGAATGATAGAACAAAACTGAGTTGGAGAATTTATCTCTGGGAGAGGAGGCAGGAGCCGGATGGGGGAAAAACACCAAAAAACTGAAGTTACTGGGAATGTTGTAGATCCTAGGTTGGGTGGTGTGTTCCTAAAGGTTCTTTACATTATTTGAATGAATTAATATGCATGCATGGAGCAATCATGAGAGCATATCATGTGCCAAGGGTTGACTGATCTGGGCTCTGAGGAATGACAATCAACAAAGCACATTTACCACACAAACAACACATAAACTAAAGGGTGCTTCCCTCTCCCTCTCCCTGGATCAAGCTAGACTGAAATAATGCTTTCTCCATGATCTCTTTGTAAGTCTCCATTCTGGTAGATCCTCAGCCCCATTAAAATAATTTTTATTTTTTTCCAATTCAGAAAGTAATACAATAATGAAATACTATTCAATAGAAAGGAATGAACTACTGAGACATGCTACAATGTGATGAACCTCGAAAACATTAGGCCACGTGAAAGAAGCTAGACACAAAAGGTTACATATGTAGGATTCTATTTATATGAAATATCCAGAATAGGCAAATCCATAGAGACAGAAAGTAGATTAGTGGTTGCCAGGGGCTTGGAAGAGGAGGGAATGGGGAGTAACTGCTGATAGGTAAGGGGTTTCCTTTTAGGGTGATGAAAATGTTCTGTAACTAGACAGGTGATGGTTGCACGATACTGTAAATGTGCTAAAAGCTAACTGTATAATTTAAAATGGTTAATTTTGTTATGTGAATTTTACCTCAATAAAAAAAAGGAATACATGCCGGTGGAGAACTACAAAATTATAAATAATTAAGATGAAAATAAAAATTCCTCCTAATCCCTCTCCCAGAGGCAACCACATGAAATAGTCTCATGTATTTCCTTCTGGTCTGTTTTCCAGACTATGTGGGTAGTATGATCATCTTCCACATGTGGGAGTGTAGCGTGGTTTGTCCCTATTTAAAAAAAAAAAAAAGCTTGTGTTGATAACTAACATTAAAAGTTCTTCCATCGTTAAGGGCTGCATACTCCTCTAAAGGGGTATTCTCTGCTTTAGTTATACAATCCTCAATGGCTGGACATCTAGGTTGTTTCTAGTTTGTCACCACTGTAAACAAGAATAAAGGAACAGCTTGTATATAAATCTTTGTCTCTGTTCTGGGCATTTCCTTCGATTCCCAGAAGCAGAATTTCCAAGTGAGCAGACATCCACGTTCATTTCCTTCCCAGGGGACTGCCAGGGTGCCCTTTGCTTAACAACTGCTTTTGCTGGGGGCATGGGAAATAACCTGGGCACTTGCCCTCTTGCTGTGCACGAACTCTTCATAGATCCTGAATGAAAACCCACTGCCTGGCATGTTTGTGGCAAGCGTTTCCTCCGCTGTGATGTTGCCTATTGTTTCTAACCCTCAGGCAGAGAGCACTGTATAGGGAGTAAGACCTTGGTTCTCCTTTTGTCTCTGGGTAACCGTGAGTACATGTCTTCTACTCTCTGGATTCTCCCCCCATTTTCATGTCTTATCCACATCTGTATCCCATGTCTAGTATACCCATCCACTGCCTTCGAATCAGTTTTGACTCATAGCCACCCTATAGGGTTTCCAACGCTGTAAATCTCTACAGAAGCTGACTGCCACATCTTTCTCCTGCAAAGCCCCTGGTCGTTTCAAACAGCCAGTCTTTCAGTTAGCTGTTGATGGCTTTAACCACTGAGGCACCAGGCTGTCTAGAGTACACAGTAGGTGCCTAATAAATGTTTACTGAATGATTGTGTCTCTCTCCCTACAGGGTTGACCAAGAAGAAAGAAATGAATCCACACACAGTAGGGGCTCAGTGGATTATACAGGATGAAGCAGTGTAGGCGTCTCGCAGGTTAAGCCTCCCTCCACCCCTGCCAAGGACCAGGTCAGAGGGACTGAGGTCTTGGGCCGCGGGGGGAGCTGGGAAACTGTAGGAAACCTCAGCAGCCAGTGCAGGAGCCTTGGGCATCAGGACACCTGTTCTGAGCAGCCACCAGGGGGCAGCAGATACTGCAAAAATGGAGCAGGAGTGCTTACGCTAGCACCCCACTTCTCAGGCAAGCTCTGTGCTGGGTGCAGGGATGTGACTTGGTCCCTGGCTTCAAGAAGGCTCCAGACCAGTGGGAGGAACAGCCAGGTCAGCAGAGAAGTGTCTAACACAGCACAGGAGTGCAACAACAATGATGGCATCAACTATAACGATGGCTGTGGCTGAGGGCTTGCCAGGCAGGAGCTCAGGTGATCCCCACACAACCCTGAGAGGAGTACCAGCGCTATCCCCATTTTAAAGATGAGGAAATGGAGATAATGAGGAAAAGTGACTTTGCACATGTGATTAAGTTAGGGATCTTGGGATGGAGATTATCTGGGTGGGCCCTAAATGTAATCACAAGGATCCTTATAAGAGGGAGGCAGGAGAGTCAGAGTCAGAGAAGGAGCTGTGACCCCAGAAGCAGAAGGGGGAGAGAGAAAGAGAAAGGTTGGAAGATGCTACGCTCTTGGCTTTAAAGATGATGGAGCCATGAGCCAAGGAATGTGGACAACCTCTAGAAACTCCAAAAGGTAAGGGAATGGAGTCTCTCCTAGAGCCTCTGGGGGGAACCAGCCCTACTGACACTGTGACCTTAGCCCGGTGAGACTGATTTCGCACTTCCAGAGGTGTAAGATAACCAATCTGTGCTGTTTTAGCCACTAAATTGGTGGTGATTTGTCACAGCAGCCATAGGAGGCTCATACAGGTACCCACTAGTAAAGCGGAGAGGATGCGTCTGAGAGTGGGGAGGAACCAGGAGAGCAGAGTCTCTCCCTGCGAACGAGACAGAGGTTCAAGACGGAGAGAGACTGACAGGTGGGGGGAGGCTCAGGTGTCTGCGTGAATATTACTCCTGGTGAAAGTCGAAGACATCTGGAGAATCCAGACCAGCTCTATCCAACAGAATTCTCTGAGAGGAGGGGAATGTTCCAGAATTGCACTAATATGGTGGCTGCCAGCCAGCTGTGAAATGTGTGACTGAGGAACTGAAGGTTTAATTTCACTGAATTCATTTAAGCTGACAGCTAGTTGCTCCATGATAGAGAACACAAACTCAGCCCTTTCCAGCCCTAGAGCTCACCGGGCTGTGAGGGGCAGAAGAGCTGAAGAGGTTCCAACCTGTGTGGAATCGCCTCTAGAGGTGGACAAAGGTGGATGAGGCCTCACCTTCTGCTCAGAGCAGCCCTGGATGAGCTGAGCTGGACCCAGCCATGGGTCACGGGTCCTGCTGTGCTTGCCCCCTGCAGGGCCACACTTACCCCCCTTTTGTGACTCGATCTCCTTCTTGGCCTGCTCCAGGATGCTCTTGATGGCATCGTCCGAGCCTGTCTCAGGCGTGCGGATTCTCGGGGTGATGCTGCCTGGGGAGGTAAGAAAGCAGCTGTGGCGGGGGGTCTGTGGGCTGCGGGTCCGTCCTTGGAGCGGGGCAGGGTGGGGGCTGCTTCCCTCCTCCCTGAGGGGCTCCAGGTGAGTGATGGGCAGACCTTAAATGTGCATGGTGTGGTCACCACGTAGTCTGAGTGACAAACTGTGGACCTGCAAGTGATTCTGGCTCAAGAAAATAGTAACTAATAACATTGATGACAACCCCAACTAGCAGTTCTTGAGCGGTTACTGCGTGATGGGCGCTGTGCTGAGTGCTGTACACTCATATAATCCTCAATCCCCTAAGAGGCTGACAGATGGGGAAGCTGAGGCACAGGGATGTAAATGTCAGTTGCCTGAGGTCACCCAGTGAGTGAGGGGCAGGGCTGGGCTTCAAGCCCAGGTGTGTGTGAGGGCAGGGCTCGGGCCCTTCAGTCATGGATTATCCAAAAAATCGAGTCTGGCCGTGTTGGCGGTCACCCAGGCCATGTTACAGATGGATAAACTGAGGCTCAGAGGTGCTGAGGGAGCAGCTGGTAGGGCAGCCCGTGGAGCTTAGCCTTTTCCCACCATCATCAGTGGCCTGAGCCGCCCCATGGACAGCCAGGTGGGGAGGAAGAGGTGGCACAGGCCCCGGGAGGAGGGGAAACATGCACAGAGCAGCCAGGTCGCTTGCCCCGGGTCACAGAGCCCTGGTCCCTCAGCCCCGGATGCGGCTGCCTGGCTGGCCTGCGCTCACTGTCCTGTGTGGCAGGGCGGGGGCCGTGAAGCCCTCACCTCGCTGCCGCACCTGGATGGTCCTCAGAGCCAGCACGTTCTGCTCGTCCGACAGGAACTGCTTCATCTTGATGAAGGGCTCCTTGCCCTTCACCGTGAGCTTGCGCCAGGGCTTAGGTCGGGCCAGGATCTCGCTGACCGAGCCCTGTGACAGCCCCAGCACGTAGTGGCCGAACACCCGCTGCCCGATGTTGTGTTTGAGCAGCTGCTCCTTCACCTGGAACGCGATCTCAGCCGTGTCCAGCTGCTCCTCCTCCGCCCCAGCCACGGCCACCACTGGGCCTCCTCCGCCACCCTCTGCCGGCTCAGGGCCCCCAGGTGGCTCAGGGCCTGGGCCAGGCGTGGCTGGGGCAGCAGGGGGCTTGGTGCCGTAGAAGGCCGGGGGGAACAGCAGCAGGCCACTTGCCTCCCCCTTGAAGGTGGCCGGGGGCATCAGGTGCTTGGGCAGCAGTGCGTCCCCCACCAGCCGCTCGCCCGCACCCAGGCTGGGGAAGGGCGACAGGGAGAAAGTTCGCTGGCCGTCGGGGCCCAGGCTGGGGCCCAGCAGGGGCTGCCCAGGGCTGGGGGACAGTGGGTCTTCTGGCCCCGGTGGTGGAGGGAGCTGCTGAGGGGAGGGGTAGGACTGCTCCGTGCCCAGCGAGTCCTTGATGGAATCGTCCTCGGAAGGGTCCTCCTCTAGAACACCCACAGAGAGACAGACAGCGAGGATGGGAGGGGGACAGACAGACAGTGAGAAAGAGAGAGAAAGAGACAGTGAGAGAGAGTAAGAGAGAGAGACAGGCAGCAAGGGTGGGAGGGGGACAGAGAGACAGTGAGAAAGAAAGAGAGAAAAAGAGACAGTGAGAGAGAGAGACAGCGAGAAAGAGACAGAGGACAGAGACAGTGAAAGACAGCGAGCAAGAGAGAGACAATGAGCAAGAGACACAGATAAAGAGACAATGACAGAGATAAAGAAACAGAAAGACAGTGAGAGAAAGAGACAGAGAGAGAATGTGAAAGACAGACAGACACAGACAGACTCAGAGAGAGAGGAAGGAGGAGGGAGGACGAGTGCAGAGGGAGGAGGGGAAAGGTGTTATAGGCGACCAGCAGTACTAAGCAAAGCAGATGTTGGCTGTTTCTGCCCCTCCACCCCCATTCTAGGCCCTTCCTTCCAAGACAGTTCAAATGCCACTTCTAGGGACCCCTCCTGCCAACAATGATAAACAATGTCTCCAACAGCATGAACGTTCATTGAGCGCTTGTTAGATGCCGGCACTGTGCCCTGGGCGGGAATTTACATTCGTAGCACCAGCAGGACTGGCTCATTCCACCTCCTATGCCCATCTGGAGGGTCTTGACTGTGGTGACATGAGTCAAGAGAACAAAATCTGTTTCCAGGGCCTCTGTACAGCTGAGAAGACAATTTTGGGAACCCAGCAACATCTACAGGCCATTCCCAGAGGTCTGCTGAGGAGGGAGGGGTGATACAAAGGCTCCCTCGCCTTGTCCTTCTGTGACATCCTCAGTAAAGTCCCCACTGTTCACTAAGGCTTGGCATGGGTAGAGCCTTTGGTGGGGGGTGTGTGTGTGTGTGTGTGTGCTGCTGGCTGAGTCACAGATGGCACCCAGCACAGCACCAGGTACACAAGTGGAGCTCAATCAACGTGTTGTGGAATGGCATGGTGCTCAGACATGAAGGAGGTAGAGACCCCAGCCGTCCCGCCCAGCCCTCACCCGGAGCACCCCCCCTACCAGGGCTGGCCAGCAGAGCCGGCTTCTCCAGGAGGAACTTCTGTGCGGGGAAGAAGGCCTCCTTGGCCATGAGCAGCGAGTCGTCTGGCTTAGCCAGGCCCTGGGGAGACAGGAGGTCCGGCTGAGAGGGCACTGCTGGTGGAAGGCTCTGGGCAGCCCACCCTGCAGGGACGGTGGTGGGAACACTTACCTGGGGGAGGCTGCAGTTGCTGGAGGCCAGCTTCATCGCTTTCAGGATGCTGTCAGAGAAAGGGTCTGAGGTCAGCCAGGTCCCCAGGGGCAGGAACGATTACCCAACAAGCAAGCTATGCATGGCCGCACTTGTGCTTACTTGTCTGTAGTTTACAATTTCACCGGGTTTTCATCCATGTGAAATTATGCACTACTAGCAAGTAAACACAATAAAGCCCCCATGCACCTTGCTTACTGATTAACCCGCCCCTGCCCGGGGGCTGGGGAAAGGGCTTGCAGGTGAGGCTTTCTGCCTGCTCACCTTCCCTGATGGAGAACAACTGCCCCCCCCACCCCATCCCCAGCTCTCTATGTCACCGGGCTCTCACTGCAACAACAGGCTTAAATTGCAGGCTTGTTAACAGGGTGTTATGGATTGAATTGCGTCCCCCGCCTCCCGCCAAAACAAAAAAAAAAATGTTGAGGTCCTGAGCCCTGCACCGGTGAATGTGACCTTGTTTGGGAAAATAGGGTTTTTCTTTGCAGATGTTATCAGTTAACAAAGTCATACCAGACTAGGGCGGGTCCTAATCTCTTCTGGGTGGTGTTTTATCAAAGACAAGGACAGATATGGAAAGAGGGCCAGGCACAAGGGAAAGACAGAATGCAAGGATCCTTCTATAAACCAAGAAACGCCAAGAAACACCCAGGGCTACTGAAGCTGAAACAGACAAGGAAGGATCTTCCCCTAGAGCCGGCAGAGAGAGAACATAGCCCCGCCAATGCCCCGAATTTGGACTTGAGCCTCCAGAACTATGAGACAATTAATTTTGTTCTTTAGGATTTTGTTATGCAGCACTAGGAGACTAGGACAGCAGGTTACAAGTTTACCTGGGAGGGGTGCTGGCTAACTGACTCCCATGCTGGCCAGATTTAGCTGATATAATCAATGTTTCACCCCAGTTACAATCCCCATAGGTCTAGCAAGATGGTCATCTTGTATATTCTCCTACAGGCAGCTCTTGAGGGAGTGGGGCTAAGGATGGTTAAGCTGACACCCAAATGCCAGTGGAGAACAGAGAAGAGTGCCATAAAGTGGAGTCTGGTAGGGAGGGAGGAAGATTATCAGCTCTGCCAAGGGGCCCTTCCTGTCTTCCTAGGCAGCACCCCAGCCCTGTGGAGCCCCACTCTGCACAGTACCTCAGTTCAGTTTTAATTTCTTCATAGTCAGATTGCGCTTGCAGCTTCTCTTCCAGCTTCTAAAAGAGCAAAGAAAGACGGTAAGGTTGGTCCACATGTCTGGGGTCACCAGCCCATCTCCCGAGCTCCTCCCCCAAAGCCTACCTCGATGGCCTCAGACTTGGCTGTAAGCTGCCGTTCCAGCTCTGCGATCTGGTTGGCGGAGGTCTCCTCCAGCTCCTGCAGAGAGTTCTGGAGGTGCTGCACATCCTTCAGCAATCGCAGGATCTCCCTGTCCTTGGAGGCCAGGGCGGCCTCCAGCCGAGGACCTGAGCACAGCGCGAAGTTCATCTTATCCTGGGGGCAAATGGGGGGCTTTGAACTGAAGAGCTTGGGGCAGGGACTGCAGGGCTGGGTCCCCTTGCCCCTGAATCCTAAGCAAAATGGGAAATCCATCCGTGGCGCAGCCCCAGGGCTCAGCTCCACAGAGTGACACAGGCCCCTCTTGTGAAGGGCCCGTGGTGCCCCTCTTCCCACTGCCACACCTTTGCTCATGCTGGTCCCACTAGCCTTCATGCCTGTTCCTCTCTTCCTGCAACTCAATCAGGAGGGAGAAGGAGTGGTCAGGGAAGGTTTTCTGGAGGAAGATATGTCTAAACTGTGATGAAGTTCAAGAACAAGTTAGTGATTTGAAAAACTGCTTGGAGGTATCTACTAAAGTTAAACATAAGCCTCCCAGTGATTCCACTCCTTGGTATATGCCCATGAGAAATGTGGGCACCTGTACACCAAAACACAGGTTCACAAATGTTCACAGCAGCACTCTCTGTAACAGCCAAAACCTGAAAACATCCAAATGCCTATCAACAGGAGCATGGACGAATAAACTGTGGTATAGACACAATGGAATACTATACAGCAATGAAAATGAATAATCCACAAATACAACACAGCATGGATGAATTTCCCAGATGTAACATGGAGTGAAAGAAGCCACACAAAAGAGCACACACAGTGTGATTCCATTAAGATCAGTGCAAAGGCAGGCAAAACTGATCAGTGCTGTCAGAAGTCAGGGTAGTGGTTCTCCTTGGTGAGTAGTGCCTGGAACGAGGCCTGAGGTGTCTTCTCAGGGGCTGGGAATACGCTATTAGCTGGGTCCAGGATGTGTTTACTTTGTTGACATTCAATGTCCTGTGCACTTATGATATGTACCTCCTTGTGTATGCTGTACTTCAATTAAAATGTTAATTAAAAAAAAGAACAAAGAAGGGAAGTAGTTAGCTGTGTGAGGAAGTGGAGGTGATAGGGTGTTCCCAGCAGAGGGAACAGCATGTGCAAAGGTTTGGCTTTCCAAATCAGGCCCAGGTCCTACCCTAGCGGGATGTCCCCATTCCAGGCAGCAAGAGACCAGCAGGGTTAGACTGATGCCTTGGAGCCACATTTGGGGGTGGTTCCTTCCTCCTAATTTGCTACCAGCTCCAAGTCCCACGGCTTCGCCAGCCTTTAGGAAATGGTCCCTTTGTCCTGGATGAAGCTGGAGAGGTTGCTATTTGAGGGGAACTGAAGTCAGGCTGGTCTCAGGCCCAGGCTTAGTTGAAAATGAATCTAAGAAGCATCAGGAGAAAAAAAAACACTACCACCACCACCATCCCCAGCTATTCTTCCATGGAGATAAATGCCAATTAAAACAGGAAGCGGATGCCATTAATACATTAAATTAATTAGCATCGAGCGCCACTGTTGTGCTCAGAAAAGCTCACCCCACAAGCCAGCAAAGTTCCCTGTGGCTGATTAGCACAGGCATTTGCTGGGTTCCATGGGGGTTAATTAAGAACCACTGGCAGATTCCTCTCGGAGGCATCCTCATGAACTTGCTTGCTCCGTCTCTCCCACATCCCTTCTCTCCTGTGTTCTCTCTCTCTGTGTTGTGCAGGCACCAGGCACATGGACACATACACATGGTCTCCTGGGACACAGACACTGGCTAACATACACAAGGACACACCTGCAGACACAGAACACAGTGACACACGTACCTGCCCGAGCACTCACGCTGACACGCACACACACAGAAACACACATGCATTAAGGAGGCACACTCACATGGACACATCACTGTGACACACAGTGACGTGTGTGCTCAAAAAGGTCACACGCTCACATGGGCAAAAATATCTCCAGATACACTGAAACATACCACCACCACTACTATTACTACTACTACTGGCAGCAAATATTTACCAAGCGTATGCTGTGAGCAGGGCTTCGAACTGGTTCTTCCCAATTCAGTCATGGCTAAGGAAATGACACCAGAATAGACCTGAATTTTTAAAATTTGGGTGAACCAGAACCATAACTAGAATGGGAAAAATTACAGGTCAAAGACGTGCTTCAAACTTAACCTCTCTCTCAGAAAACAACAGCAGCACATGCGCCGCATAGCAACCAAATCTGTCCATCAGGTTTTGCAGAATCGTTAACAGTGGTGCCCTGCTCAAAGATGGTGGTCAACTGCACCACTTTGAATGTGTGCTGCTCTCTTCAGTGCTAGCAATAATACAGAAAGGACTCACTAAGCCTCTTCCTAGTCTCCCATTCCAGGGCTTCGACCAGTAATTTTTCCAGTTCTTGTTCCTGATCGCCCAAATTTTAAAAATTCGTGTCTATTCTGGCTTCGCTGCGTTGGCCATGACTGAACTGGTTCAAACCGGTTCGAAGCCCTGGCTGTGAGTCAAGCACTATTTGAGGTACTTTACATGTAATCCTCTCAATAATCCTCTAAGGTAGGTCTTACTTGTACAAACAAGGAAACTGAGGCACAGATAGATTAAAGGCACAGTGACTTGCCCAAAGGTCACAGACAGACACAGAGTAACACATGCTCAAAAGACGCATACCAGTATTCAGACAGGCAGACATAGACACATGGGCCTGTGTATCAGGGTGTGCCAACCACTTCACGTTCACGGGTGGAGACTGAAAATCACCCCAGAGCAGACCTGTTATTACGTCAGGAGTCGTGTGTCTCATTCCTTGGCATGCAGAGTTTGGAGGGAAGGTAGACCAATTTACATAAGCAGCCCAAGGTCTTCTGGAGGGGAGAGACTGAACCACTAATTTATGAGAGGAGCGGGAGACTGGGGTGGCTCTACCTAAAATCCCTTGGCAGGAAATGACACCAGGACCCCAAAGAGGCACTAACCAGGAGGAATGACAAAAGCTTAGCCCAGTAACCTCAGGACTGATGCCTGGGGAGGATTGGTTCTTTACAGCATGTGGCTGTGGTGGGAAACCCCTCTGGGACCAATCACGCTGGCACGTCTTGCGAACCGATGGCTGAGTATGAGAGTTAAAGCTCAGATCTTGGGGTGTGGCTCCACTGCAGTCCTGCAGGGACTGAGACTAGCAAAGGCATCATGCTTAGCTGTCGCCTACATCCACCAGGCTGTGTGAGACCAGCGTTTAATAGTGACACCTTGTGGCAGCCTCCGGAATTGCACCGCGGCTATACTGATCAAACTCACCCCTACTCTCTCTGCTGGGAATCTGATGATAGGAATGATTCCCTCTGCCCTGAGTAAGTTCTGGAATTCTGAGGCAACGGGGGGTTAAGGGAGGTCTCCAAAGGAAGACAGTGGACTTTGTGTTCATCAGGGTATGCAGGAGATGGAACCATTAAAAACTGAAAGGGCTGTGGCTGTATTTTTACCCTCAGCTGGCAAAGCAAGTCATACAATTATGTTTAGCTTAACACTGACCTTGGCAATCGAGATGCTCTTCCTACTGTGTGCACACAAGAGATCACACACACCGATTCATAATCTCACACAGGTGGACACAATCAACCGCACACAAATGTCACCACGTGTTTATACTCAAACCACAGCCTTTCCCAACCCTCCTCTCTGGCTTGCTTCTCACCTCCCAACCCCACCCTTACCCCACTGGGTCCCTGGGGAGAGCAGCAGGCCAGACGGATGGAGCTGTTGACGGAGGCGAGTTGTTCCCGAAGACTTTCCACCTCCCGTTGGGCAGCCTCGGCTCGCTGGGGAGGAGAATGGTTAAGAGGTGAGCGGGGCCACAAGGAATTCCACTCCCAATGGCCACACCCACCTCCTTTGAAAGTCCCACCCAAGTCTGCCCACCCGGTGCCAACACAGCTGAAGCTAGAGGAAGTGCAGGATGTAGGAACTGTGGCTATAAATGTGAAATTGGAGGCTCAGAGACTAAAGGACTTGCAAGGACCGGGGTTGGGACTAGAAGATGTGGATCCCAGGGAAGGCTGGGGTCCACCCATGCTTGGCTGTGTGGCTGGGATTGGGTGAGGGCTGGAGGGGATGGGAGGGGGAGGAAGGGAGGAGAGAGAAGCAGTCTCTGGCTTGCCTGCCCATGGAACATGGTTCCTTCACTGGGTCTGGTTGGGAGGGACCCACCTCCCAGCTCACCCAGAGGTGGGCACTTGTGGGCTGGGATCATGGCCCTGCCTCCCTCTGCCTGCTGTCAGGAGACATCTAGGGAGGCCTCGTAGGCAGCAAGACCTCCAGGGCAGGGCTCTGTAGGCATCCCCCCTCCACCCCAAAGCCTGCAACGCTATCCCTCCTCACTCTCCCATCTGCCCCTCAGGCCTCAGCTCCATGTCCCTTCCTCCTGGACGTGGTTCCTGACCCTGCAGTCTGGGCCTTCCCTGTCCATTGCTGCTGGGGCCACTGTTTCCAAACTGCCTGTCTGCACCCCCAGCCCCATGCTCCCTTCCCTGGGAAGCTCCCGATCCCAGCATTTCACATGCTCACGGCACACAGGTCAACAAATATTGAGTCCTCCCCACAGTGGCCCCAGCCTGAGACCCCTACCCAAGCAGAACAAGCCCTGCTCCTGCCAAGCGTGAGCCTCCAGGTATCCTCACCTGATTGGCTTTCTCCAGGTTGGTCATGATCAGGCCGACTTCATCTGCCCTGAGACAGAAAGACGAGGCCCTGAGGAGGGGCTTCTGGCGGCTGCAGCTGCCCATATTTCTATCCCAGCCCCTGCCTGAGCCAAGGGCCTAGAAATGGGGCTGAGGAGCTTCTTCCAGAAGAAAAACCAGGCTAGGGGAAGAAGACCTCAGGCGGTGGGGAAATGCGGATAACGCCTCAGCACTGGCCCCTCAGGCAGCCTGGCCTCCCTTCTCCCCAGAGATCACTCTGAGCTTCGGCAGAGCCCGGCCTCTGGGCCTTTGTCCCTGCTGTGTCTTCCTCTTGGAGCACCTGTCCACCAGTGAGCAGTGTCCGTCCGGCTTGAAGACCCAGCTCCACAGAGTCCCCCGGAAGCCTCTCTCAACTACTCCCAGGGGGTCATTCGTTTCTTTGGCCGACCCCCTCAAGACTGCCAGCACCTGGGGGGCTGGGACCGGCCCTATCCACCTTGGTCACCTCTCTGCCTAGCATGGGGCGGGGACATGGGAGGCCTGAGGGAAGCATTTGGTGCCTAAAAGCAACACACGTGTGCATACACGTTCAGGGTCATCCTTTGCACCTTCCCAGTGTCCTTCACATGGCCACCTCCTTCTCATCTTACAGGTCTCAGCCTAAACGTCAGCTCCTCAGGGAGGCCCTCCGTGATCACCCTGGCTAAGAGGACCCCCTCCTCATTATTCTCTGTTGCTGCTCCTGGTCCTTCCCTTCAGAGCGTTTACCATGTGCCCAGTGCAGTGCTGGGCATACAGTAGGTGCTCAGTAAGTGCTTGTGCAATGAGTGATGTCTTGAAGCTTGAAGGAACATGACTGCAAACTAATTTAGGTTAATGCCATTCAGCCGTGTGGGCTAGGGGGTTGGGGGGCTGGGGGCAGCCCCAGGAGGTGGGGGTGAGGTGGAGTCCCTGCCCCAGGAGTGTCATTTACAGTTCACGGCACAGGCATGGCACAGGAGATGGGGGAGCAGAGGATGGGGTGGGCGCCAAGGGGGCTTACTGACACCGGTGTCTGAGGTAGAGGGTCAGAGGGAAAAGGGTCAAAAGGAAGAGGCATGTCTCGGAGGGTCAGAGGGAGGGGGTAGTTCTAGGAGGGTCAGAGGGAGGGGCAGTTCTAGGAGGGTCAGAGGGAGGAGGTAGTTCTAGGAGGGTCAGAGGGAGGAGGTAGTTCTAGGAGG